CCGGGCGCGGGCACTGACGAGGCGGTGAGGGTCTGCGGGGGAGCCGGGCCCGGAGCTGGCAGGTCCCGGGGAACGATCTCGGGCGTCTGACCAAGCGGGCCCGAAGTCCTGAGTCATGAAGATGGGTGACTCGGCCGAATAGTAAAATATCAGTAGACATCTTCCCCCCCAAAAAGCCTAGGTTGCGTGGTGTTTGGGGCTTCTGACCCAAACGTTGGCACCCCCAAAGGGAGGATACCTCCCTGGGATCTGCCAAGCTCTTTTGAAGGCTGCTTCCCCAGGGACCAGGACAGCCCCTCAGTCCCCACTCGCTCGGGGAAGCACCCGGTGATTCAGGAAGGCGTTTTCTCTGTCTGCTGGAGGCCTATGGCTGATCCTTTCTGAGCCTCCTGGAGGTCACAGATTTTAGGAAAGGAAACCAATGTATATGGGGGTTCCCTCCGCCCCCAGTGATACTGATTGTGCCCTGTGTTTGGAACAGGCGCTCTGGGTGCTCGATTGTCGGCCCCAGCCCGCTCTCTTTTTTCCTTGAGTGTGGTTTTGGAGATCTTAGATGAGGCACCTTCCTTGCTCTTGCAAAATGCCGGCTGATGGACCCACCTGAATGAGGTGGTTCAGGCTTTCAAAGGTCGATTTCTACCATATCAATGGTGAGCGTGGACAGGACTCAGTGGGTGTTTCGTGGTCTCCAGGGAGGACGGTGTAGGCAGGGCTGGAGCAGCACCATCTCAGCGTGTGTCTGAGGCAAGGCTGGAGCATCTCTCACGATCCATACTTTTTCTCTCCACAAAACAGTTGAAGCAAAGGACTGGTCCAGCCCTGCCCCAGCTGAGAGCGAACCAACGAGGTTAAACTTTTGAAAGCCAGGGACTCCGAGGGACGAGGTGGCGGGTTTCTCTTTGTCATGAAACAGCCGAGTATAGTGTTGAATCCTGGCTCTATCCTCAGCAAACTGACTTCAGGCAGTGACCTCACCTTTCTGCTTCAGTTTATCTGCATAGGAGATAGAAATAGGACTTAGCTCGCTCGTGTGGTTGTGTGAGGAGTGTGTGCTTGCGTGAGTTCACTTAAAGCATTTGGAACAGCGCTTGGCGTGTAACAGGCACACATACGGGATCTCTTATTATTTTTCAAGTTATTTGCCTTTTTGGGAGAAGGATGGCACTCTCTTGGTTGTCACTGCATCGGTTGTCACTGTGATTCTCATGTGGTTTTATACTTGGTCCAAAAGTTTACAATGGGAAGGAGGCAGTCGGTCCTCTCTGCTGCTGAGCTGGGAGCCACCTCAGGAATCCCAGAGCAGGACCAGCCCCAGTAATGGTGCTTTTCTGCCGTAGACAAAGCGACCAGCCAGCTTCTGCTGGAAACCGACTGGGAGTCCATTCTCCAGATCTGCGACCTGATCCGCCAGGGGGACACGCAGTAAGCGAGGGTGGCCACACTGCGCGTGGGGTTGCTGGGTGTCCCCTGGCCCTCCAAGGTCCTGTGACCTTGGTGGAGAGCTGCATGGTCTGTGTGCTGGGGTTTTTGAGATCTGGGGACAGTCAAAGGACTCTCTACAGCTCGCGGGTCCTGAAAGACGAGATGGCAGTAGACTTTTCTCATCTCAGTCGCTGAGACGTTTTTCTTTCTGTCTCTCTGCTTCTGCCGACTCCCTTTCAGAGCAAAGTATGCCGTGAGTTCCATCAAGAAGAAGGTCAACGACAAGAACCCCCACGTGGCCTTGTATGCTTTGGAGGTACGTGGACCCCTGCCCTCCAGTCCTCCCGGGGCCCCACCCCCACCTGTCACGATGGCAGAGCGGAGCGGCCTCCGAGGTTTGCCCACCTACCTGGGCACCGGCCCTGACAGGGCTGGGCTGCTCCTCTTGAGGCTGACACACTTAGGGCCCTGAGGGTGACACTCGTCACTGTCCTTGGTGAGACAGCTGGAGTTAGAAGGAGCCTGTGTAGCGCTGGCTGCTGCCTGCCTCAGAACCCGCCATGTGGCCAGGCGGCCGGAGGGGCCTGTGGAGGCTGGCCATCTCTCAGGAGCCTTCTCCCAAAGGGGAAGGGGAGCGTGGTCCAGGAGCGGGCCCGACCCTCCCCCTCCTTGGGTTCTGCAGGTCATGGAGTCCGTCGTGAAGAACTGTGGCCAGACCGTCCACGACGAGGTGGCCAACAAGCAGACCATGGAGGAGCTGAAGGAGCTGCTGAAGGTGAGCGCTGTGCTGGGCGCCGTGGGTCCAGGCGGGGAGGGGCGCAGCCACCCATCCGCCAGGCCTGTGCTTTTTTAGGCATTTGCCGACACCTGTGGCAGAGTCAGTGCGGGATGTGGCAGAGGCCAGGAAGGCGAGTGTTGGTAGTCCCTGCTGCGTGCGAACCCCGAACCCCAACCTGGTGACATCTGCAGGGTTGGGGAAGGCTTCTGGGGGCAGGGCTGCGTGCCAAGTCTTGAAAGGCAGGGGACACTGAGTGGCAGGGGAGCTGCATATGTGTGAGCAGAGGCCTGCAGGGGCGCCCAGGGCTGCCGCTGGCGAGGCCCGCTCTCAGGCGGGAAGGGTTCTGAGTGGGAGGCTCGGAGGGAAGGGAGACCGAGGTGTTTATGGAGGGGTGGTGGGGGAGACAGCAGAGCAGGGATGCCTTGGGGAGTGGGCTTCACGTCCTCCTGTGGCAGAGGACAGGTCGTCTTGAGCTTGAGACCTTGTCTTGAGTGGAGCCCTCCCCGTGGCCTCCCTGGCTCACGCTGCCCCCAACAGAGATTGTGGCATAAGCGGTGATACCTACGGTTTCTGAGCTGCA